ATATATGTCAATATTTTTTCGGACAATCTTTAATCTGTTCTGAATTACGAGAAGAGAGCAAATAAGAGTTTTTTATTTTTTATTTTTTTTTTTAAACGAATGATATTACCTACATTAAAGGAATGTGGTGAGCTTAACCTTACAGTAGCAAATATAAGTTAAGTAAATTTGTATGTAAATTAATATTGTTTAAAATATTATTTAAAAAAATAAAAAAATTACAGGGTTAAGTGATTCGAAGCAGAGAACATTGTCCTAGTGGATTGCGATTGCGTGTTTATTTTTTTATAGTAGTTGTAAATTAATAAGAAAAAAAATGTCATGATAAAAGATAAATGCATGTTCCCATAAGAATGTACCAATGTACAATTATAGTAATTCATAAGAATGTACCCATATACAATTTCAAATATTAAAACCCATATGTGACAAAAAAAAAAAAAAAAAAACATTGTACCCATATAAATTCTTAGTGTTAAAAAATGATTAAAGGATAGAAAAATGGAAGCAAACCATAAGACAAAATTACATAAGGGTACATACTATATAAATCTTATAGGAAAAAGTTATAAATGGGTATAAAACAATTTAGAAGAAAAGGTTACAATGGTAGTATAGAATAAAAGTTGGGTACATGGATTAAGGAACAAGAAAAGAGACTGTACCCAATAATATTAAAATTGCGTTCATAGCAATATAATGGTCATTTGATGGTCATGGAGAAAAAATAAGTTTGAAAAAAATTTGGCGAAATTTAAATTTGAGGATAAATATTCCGTATAATGATGTTGAGTTTGAATATAAACATAAATTTGAGTGAGAGAATTTGGGGATTTTCAGCTACAAATGTTACTCAACCTTTTGAACATGATAATGTGGGAGAAATTATAAATTAAAATTTGTTGTAAAAAAATAAAAAAAGATGACATGGAACTATGTTATTAGTAAAATGCTGAGGTGTACAAAGTCAACTAGTCAAGAGACCTTGATAAAAAATAAAAATAAAAACTGAAAACCAATAAGATTTGAGTCTATAAACATTTGTGACTAGGGAGACTAGATCCTAATTTTTCCTAAATTAACTCTTGATGGTTGTTAAGCTAGCTAGGTATTACCTGACAGCTGATTTTCCCTCAAATCCATTATAATTAGTTGCAGTGCAGATAAGTTACAGATAGCAGTGGGTGTAGAACCTGAAAACTGGTTGCCATCTAAACTGAAGGCTTGAAGTTTGGATAAGGACCCAAACCATGGTGGAATATTTCCCGTAAAGTTATTGTTTGTAAAGATAATCAACTTCAGTCGGCGTAAACGGGTCAATTCATGAGGCAAGGTACCGTGGAAACTGTTATTTCTGAGGCTCCACCTAACAAGAAATGAAAGGTTTCCTAGATTTGGTGGAATGGTTCCAGTGAGACTCATGAAAGAGAGGTTCAAGGTCATGACTCTATGGTGGCGTAGGTTGCAAGGAACGCCAACCCAACTGCAAACGGAGGTAGTGGCGGACCAGTTGGTTGTCAAGATGTTTTGTGGATCATTGGTGATATGGGATTTGAGAGCAACCGTCGTGACGTCGGTAATTTGTGCTGCTAACATAGTTGATAAATATCTGGTTAAATATCCAAAATGGTCCCTAAGATTTGCATAATCAATAGAAATGGTCACTGAGATTCAAAATCAATAGAAATGGTCCCTAAGATTGTCCACCATCCATGATTTTGGTCCTTCCGTTAAAAACTCTTTAGGCAATTTTTAAAACTTCGTAAGTCAATCGATTCTTAACCAAATTCGACTCATAATATATCAAAATGAGGATAGGAAAGTATAGAACAAGATTATACCTATTTGGAAGCCCAATTAGCCACTTTCAAGCAATTTTCGGCCAAACCAAGGTGAGTTAGCCATCGAGAAAGGTACCATTATCTTCGTCTCATCTAGAAGTATGATTTTCGTTCTTGAATCACTTGATTTCGTTGAGTATTGAAGAAGTTATGAAGGTTTAAAGTTTACCTAGTTTTCGACGAGGTTTCCAGTTTTCCTGCGAACCAGTCACATTTCCGGCTATTTTACGGCCATCTCCGGCATGGGCTTCCAAATAGGTACAATATTGTTCTACACTTTCTTATCTTCATTTTGATATATTATGGGTCGAATTTGATTAAGCATCGATTCAGTTACAAAGCTTTTAAAATTGCCCAAAGAGTTTTTAACGGAAAGACTAAAATCATGGATGGTGGACAATCTCAGGGACCATTTCTTTTGATTTTGAATCCTAGAGACCATTTCTATTGATTATGCAAATTTCAGGACCATTTTGGATATTTAGCCTAAATATCCTATGTTTAAGAAAATCCATTTCCCAAACAATCCCCAACTTAAACTGATATGAATCATAAAGTACAAGTTCCGGTGATGCAAGCTTCATATTCAACAACACCTTCCAGCAGCCAGAGAGTTGACAATTATCATTAGACAAAGATGTATACAAAAATTGAAATGTTAACCTTCATTTTCATGAATGAATTCCGCCTCAGAATCAGAGTATACCATTAAGAACTCTAAATTGGAATATTCATTTTGTGATCTTACGACTAGGAGGAGGCAACTTTATCGATTCATCATTGACAACCAGAGGTATACTTATATGCTTGCAATCTTTTAATCCAAACTTCTCTAATAAGGCTAGAGCATATTTCTTTTTATTTATGAAGATGACATGCTCAGATTGCACAATTCTCATGCGAAAAAAATAATATAACAAGCTAAGATCAGTCTCAAACTTTCTCATCGTTCTTCTTTGAATTCAGCAATTCGTTCATTGCTGCTTCCTGTATACACAATGTCATCTACATAAATTGACACAGTGAGTGATTCTGCATCTTTGAATATGATATAGAGTATTGCTTCACTTAGACTTCTATGAAAACCACAATTGAGCAAATAAGAATTGATTTCTTCATACCAAGTCCTTGGTGCTTGCTTCAGACAATTAAGAGCCTTATTCAGTTTATAAACCTATTCTCTGACCCTGTAATCACAAAACCCCCAGGATGGCCTACATTGACTTCCTCTAGTAGAACTCCATTAAAAAAGACTTTACATCAAGTTGATATAATAGTAGCCTTTAACTACCAGTGTGTCCGTATGCTTCTGAATTGTACCATCCAGATTAAAACCCATTTGACACCAACTATAGAGTTTGTCAAAAGGCCTATCTACTAACTCCAAGACTGATAATTCTCAATCATAGACATTTCAACTTCCATCATCATTCATAGCTGCTTCTTCATATTTTTCAGGTTCTATGATAGCAATGTATTAAAAGCGTGAGGCGTAGGTGAGGCGTTCGAGGGATAGCCCAGTCTAGACATGAGGCGAAGCCTCACGTAAATTTTTTAATATATACACTAAGTGTACACATATATTATATTAAAAAAAGAAGAAGATTATTAATCAATAATCACTCTGAGCACACACATATATTATAAATACATATACAAACATATATATACAAATATTATAATACATATATATATATATATATATATATAATAGATGATGAAATGCACAATGAGCACATATATAACAATGCACATAAACAGCACACATATTCATTATATAAAAAATAAATAAAAATCAGAAAAGAAGGCAGAGATAGTGCAAGGCAGAGGTATGAGGCAGTTAAAACCCTACCCAAATTTGGGTTTGGGAGAAAAAAAAAAAAAAAAAAAAATCCCCTGAGACACGCCTGGGCTACTCCAGCGACACCTTCTGGCACCTTCCGCCCACTCCCTCAAAACAGAGATGGCAACCCTCAAGCCCCCAGCCTCACGGAGCGCCTAGGCGCCCCCTGAGGCGAGCCTTTTAAAACATTGTATGATAGTCATGCATGTCTCATCTAGCATAAACATCAGGAGACTTATAATAATACTATGTCAAGCTGCTTAGTATATACATGCCCCATTGTTTCCCTATGATCACTAGAGGCATAACCTCCTGTTCTTACTGTGGAGTAAAAAATAATCAGGAAAATTATGGAGGCGACATGTGTACTTTTAAATGAAAGGGATAATATTACTCTTGAGTCACACCGGAACTTCTACGCATAAGCAGCGAATAATCATGGCACAATCAAGGTCAAAAGTGATCAAAATAGGTATTCATTCAAAACCTATTTCATCCATCGTCATCAAATCCTCCCCACAAGGTAACCTTCAATTATTCATTCAAAATAGGATTAATTACCTAAATTAATTAATTAATTTCCTAATTGATTGCAAAATAAATATTATTTTGACATAATATCTTGCAATTACACCCAAAAACCACCATATGTGGCCGGTTCCCATCTCTTCAAAGGGGGCCGACCACACCCTATAAATATCACCTCATTTCTCTAAAGTCCAATTTTCTTCTAAAACTCTTCAAATTTATCTAAACACTTTCTCTCTCAAATTCTAACTTTGGCATTGGAGGTTCTTCGGCTAAAGCCCCCCCCCCTCAAATTCATCGTGGACGCGTGAGGCTCTTGGCCTTGATCTAAGATGTTAATTGTTTTGTAGGTACATTTTCGTCCTAAGAAGGAGAAGACAGAAATGTGCGTCCACACTTGCTACTGGTTGCAGTGTATGCATGCCACAATTCCAGAACCTTATCTCTTATAATTAGCTGTCTTAAAAAGGAATGCTTTCCCAATTCAGATTCTCTTCATAAATGAGATAGCTTGAAGCCTTGAACAAGTAATTAATTTGACATATTAACATAATCCTCAGCACTATCTAAGACTGCACTAGTATTAAAGAAAAAAGGGCACAACATCATGAAAAAAATGGACCCTTCGTTATTGTAATATCTAGTAACCGATAAAAAAGCTGTTTGACCAAGAAAAGAACAAAGAAATGTGCAACAGGTGGCCTCAAACTGTCATGCCAACCTTCATGCAATCTGGACTAAATGGAGCATATGTGTAACTGCTACAAATACCCCATATACCTTTCCTTTTCATGAATTCCATATCACAGAGTTAGAGTACTAGTTCACATAGTACAGAAAAAATGGCTGAGTTAGCTCTACCGTCTCCTATTATTTCTATCCTTCTTCTGTTCGTCTTCTCAGGTATGATCAAGATTCTTCAATTCCATCTTAATCTGCAAAACTAGTTTTGATCCTTTTTATTTTCTTAACTCTACGCAGCATTTTACATTTGTAAATTTCCTCTTTTTCTGCTCTCTCAAAATCTGAAATTGGTTTTTGATCATTTCGTCTCGGCCCTTGCCTAATTAGTTCCTATAGTTTTCATAAGGTTACATGTTCTTAGATGGTTTTCAAATGCAACGAATTTGGACCCTGTAGCTTTAAATTTTTTCGAATTTGAGCACATCCATCTACTTCTGTTGATTTCTTGTATGAAATCCGTCAATTTACCTCTGATCTGCCAAGTGCATGACGATTTCCTACAAGGAATTAACGGAATTATCGGATGCCATCGGATACCAATTGAATGTAATGGTAAATTTAACGAAAGTGTGACTTTGTGAAGGGACTAAAAAAGTGTTTTGGCCAAACTAATAATTATAATCCTTTCTCAGCAAAATAGCTTAATTATAATCCGTAACTTCAATTATTTTTGCAGGAGAGATTTCAATGGTGGTGAATGCACAGGTAATTAAGCCAGCTGAAACCATATTTTCATAACAATCAACAAATACTCAGATTAATTTAATTAGAATTTAATTGTTTTGTAGAATGCTTGGTGTGTAGCAAATCCTGCAGCACAAGAAGAAGCCCTACATTCAGCAGTGGATTATGCATGCAGTTATGTAGACTGCAGCCCAACAGTGAAAGGAGGCTCTTGCTTTTATCCGGATACATCAGTGCAACATGCCTCATACGCCATGAATGCTTACTACCAAAAGATGGGAAGAAAGCAATGGAATTGCTATTTTACCAACACTGGTCTCATTTCCTTGACTGATCCAAGTAGGCCATTTCAATTTCATATAATTTAACTTAAACAAATACAAACAATTAATTTGTTTCAAATTTTAAGAGTTTATTTCCAACAAATTAATTAAACATTTTAGGGCTATACCATATTGTTGCAGGTTATTGTGCCAGCTGCATATTTGTGAGCGGTATGTGTTTATAACAAGTTATACATTTTGACACTTCTCGGCTCCTTAGGATAAATCATTCTTCTACTTGCAATTCACAATTTGATCCATCGCAATATAAAATTTGATAAAAACACGAAAAGAATTTTTTTTTTTGACACAGATATCATCTTTGATTGGCATGTAAGTAAGAATGGCTTCGTCCACGGGAAGAGCCAAGTATTTCTGTACGTTGTAAATAATATTTGTATCACTTTATATTTGTGCTTTCTTATCCCTTGTTATTTGGCAGGAGGATCAGGACCTCCACTGCCACAGAAAAAGGTAATTAATCAAACCTAATTTCTCCCTCACAAAAACATAACTCATTTAAACCAAAATCTTAAATCATTCAAACAGTTAATATGTTTTTTTGGGTTTGCAGGATACTTGGTGTGTGGCTAAGCCAGGAATCCCAGATTCTGAGTTGCAGGAAATCATTGACTTCGCTTGTGGAGTATTGAAAGATTGCAGCAAGATACAAGAACATGGTTCATGTTTTTTGCCAAATACACTGATAAGCCATGCCTCATTTGCCATGAATCTTTACTATAAGGCCGACGCACAATACAATTGCGACTTCAACGGTGCTGGCCAAGTCGTCGTGACGAATCCAAGTAAGCTAATTTGTTTAGCATAACACACTGCATATCTAGTAATTTTATTTTTCCTTTACCTCATTGCTATGATTCTAACAAAACGTGCTTGTTATTTACTGCAGGTTTGGGTGATTGCGTCTATGTCTGAGATTATCAAAGCGTTTTTCTGTTATCGTGTTTGCTTCTTTTGTAATCTAATAAATTTGCTCCAATTGTGGGGACTGTGGACTGTACCTTAGCTATAATTTGATTCGACTGTTAATCTCCGAAGCTTGAGCTTAGTTGAAGTGTTGAAATCCAGAGGCAGACATTGATTAGTTAAACTTTGCTAGAATATATGCTATTCAGTATAAGTATGATGAGTTTGTCACTGTGTCTCAACCTGGCTTGTATTTGGGATGAGTTGCTTGACTTAGCTTGATATTTATGTAACAAGATTAGGTTGGACTTAACTTAGTGATAAACATCGAAAAAAAAGAAAAGGGAAATAACACAAAATCAAGCATATTGCATTTTACTGTATTGGCGGTGGCGTGGATTCGATCAAAATACATCTAATAATTCAACTCATTAACGCTATAGTTTATAAAGAAAAAGTAAGATAAAATCAAAATACTTAATTAAATGAAGAAAATACTTGTATTAATTTTAAAGTCTAGTATTGAGATCAAGCGGCTTGTACCTCAACCATATATGTTTGAAAGTATTAATTCACTCATGCACTTGAAGTTCTGCGTTTAGTTTTCTTTTTGGACCCATTTCTGATGTTATTCAAGCAAATAATCTCTCTAGCATCACTTTATACGAAACATGTTAGAATTCATTTGTCCTACATTAACCATAAGGCTTGAGAACAAGCCATTTATATAGAATTACTCTACTCTAACTATTACCGAGACCTTTTGTATTAAAACCCCATACTTGATGAATTGAACAAGGTGACCAAACGAGAATAATATCGATGTTGTTAGAGTGAGCTCATAACCTATCTACTTGAGATTTAACAAAACACAAACTCATAAGTACCTTGAATTTTGTTTTTAGTTGTAAAACCACTTATTAATATCATCCATCCGATCCGACCATCATTTTCGTGGATAAAGCGTGACATATAATAGTAAAGGGCTTTTTATTCCACTTCTGTCAATTCATCAAAGTTTGGTATGTGGTTTAGAACTAGAGGTTTATTGCCACTTGGCAGCCAATTATATTGCCACGAATTTACAATTTGACACACACATCGCCATCTTCTCTGGTCATTCATGCATCTTGAGCTTGAGGGGTCGTATTCACGTATGAATAAATTCGTCAAAAATATCACATGCAACACAAAAACGAAAAAGAAAACACAGAGACACTGATAGGAGTTAAATTTATGAACAACAATAAAATTTAATGCAAATTAAATTATTAATAAGTCATATATAAATCCCAACGAATCCCAATTTTTTTTACAGACCCCTAATTGAAAATTCCCCAACCCAATTCTCTTTTTCCATTGATTCCCAATTTAAAGTAAATTTTCTAGTATTGATTTAAATTAATAATAAAGGATGTTAAACATAAAAGTTGATGTGTATTTGTTGAATATTTTAGATTCATAATATATTATAGTATGATTATTGGGATGCAATTTATAAGTTTTCTGATATTGATTTCACGGCATGTTGGTTAGTTTATTATATTATTTTAGTTTCAGGAACATGATTTTTGTTTTCGTTAATTGATGTGTAGAAATTAGAAAGTATGGAACAATAGTACAAGCAAAAATCATCTATTGGTTCGGAAAATCTTATTCCGAATAGTTCCACTCCAATTTTGGATAGTTCTACTCCAATTTGGAATAGTTAAATGATAGTTTAGTAGTTTATATTGAAACAAACATTTTTTCTTGTATTGATAATGAAACTATCCTAACACATTTTCAAAATATGAAATCTCGTCATGGATAAATTTAATCTTAATAGTTTATAATATTATTTACATAAAAATTATAAATAAAAAATTGTTAGTTTATCGTTTAATTTCTCAATATTACTTTTGTTTAATTTTTTTTGAGCTAATTAAAGCAAAAGCAAAATTATGGAAAGCATAATTTAAGAGAATAGGGGGTAATAAATAAAGGCAAATGGAGCATTCACACGGGCAAAGAGTGAGTGCATTTTTGCTCACAATCATTCAGTGCGATGTATATTTATTATCTTATTTATAATGAGTTTGAATTTTGAGATTTATGATTATCCACTGTATGAATCTCTAAATTAAAATTCATCTAATTATGATAAATAAAGTGATAAGCATACAATATATGAAGCAAAAATGCTGCCGGCGAAGACTACAGAGTCATTTTACCACGATACGCATTCGTCGAACCTGGCCTCGCGAAGGGGCCCACATTGCCCCTGCACGCGTGCTCCATCCGACGGGCATCATTGCATCCGCAATAGACGGAAAGCATTTCCAAGGCCCCCAATCCGACGGCTCACACGCTCCGTGTTTGACTCCTCTCTGTCTCGGTCCCTTCACACATCCCAACGAAAACCACAAAATTAAATACCCACCACTCCCCGAACACGCCCTCCCATCTCTCTCTCTCCTCTCACACACACACACACACTCTCTCTCTCTCTCTCTATAGAACCAGTAGTGGTAGATCTTGTTCAGCAGCGCGTATCCAGGGAAATTTTTGCTCAGAGAAAAGTACTCATTTCCCAAATCCGAAATCTGATCCTCTGCAATCGATAATCTGGTTCAAATCTGCTATCTTCTTCTTTAAACCTAGGTTTTCCTCTGAAAGTTTTGACCTTTACATTTTTTCTGCTGTAATTTTTTGTGGGTTGTGGTTTTTGAGGGATTTGAAGGTTGATTTGTGGGCTTTTGAGGTAGTTCTGTTGTTTCATTGGATTATATAATATAAATGAATGATTTTGTTTGTTTTGGATCCATAATCTAGGGTTTTGAATTAGGATTAATTGTTTAAGTAAATTTTTATTATTCTGAGTGATTCTGTGTAATTAGCTTCTGTTTATGTTGCTAGGAAACTGCTCAAATTAATAAAAAAAATTATCTGAGTAGGCAAACTTTTCTTTATTTGTGTGTTTATTGTGTTAAGTGACTTGTGTGAAGGCATAAATGTTGGATAATATTTGATTAACTTTGAGGTTTTGTTTCCATTTAGTTTTTCCCAGTGGAAGATTGAGAGGATTTACTATTAATTTGGCATTGAAGAAATAAAATCAAGATGCCGTGGACGTCTTCTTTTGTGAATTACAACAGGAACTGCGTTCGCTTGGTGGTGTTCTTCCGTGTCATACTGTAAATTGCTTCACTTTGGTGAGATTACACACATTCTGTATTGCAGTTTATTGCGCTTCATTTTCTTTGTTCAAGTTTAGTTTTGCCTTGTTGATTCGGCTGACAGGATTAAGTAATTTTGTGTAAAAATCGGAACTTGATTACGCATTTACCTCCTCTGTATCTGATTTTTAAAGGAAACCGATTGATTTTCTTATGTGTTTATTTTAATTATTTGGTTGTTGTAGAACAAAAACGTCAGTTCGTTGATTCCTTTGTGCTTTAAGTTATTGGTGACAAGTTGATGTGTCTGTAATTCTTATCAAATGTGGCATTGTAGTTCGGTTTCTAATTGCTCTTTCAGTCTCATTCTAACAATGCGGCTTTGTGGATCGACTGCTGCAGGTGAAACTCTGTTTTCGAAGGATCCTTTTATTTGGTGATTTTTAGGGCTGGTTGGAAGAGTGAGAATGAACATTGGGGTAAACGTAAAGAAATATCGAGCTATAAAGGAAGTTGGGAAGATTTTAATGAGTGTTGGGGTAATTGCCTACTCTCACCAGATGCAAGTTTGTCAGGTACATCTGATATTCTTATTTCCCTACCGTAACATTATGTGGTTGTTCATCTTCTTTCGGTTTCGATTGATTGTCATTTCAGCTGAATTCACTTACATTAAGCATGAAATAAGATTGTCATTTCGATTTCATTTGGAATTCCATAATTATTGGCTTACTTTACAAATTTGGGTGAGCTGCGGGCGGTATAATAGTTTATTTAACTGTTATTCGCTCTAGCAGCAATTAAGTAGTTATTACATTCAATGGAAAACATGTGTGCTGTCTTTACTAGGACTTACGTATTGTTATGCATTCAAATGATTGTTCTTGATATGCTTGTTTGATTGTACCACTATGAAGATATTAAAACTAATCTGTTGATATCCTCTTTCTTTGCTCTCACAGGCTGAATATTTCCGTCAGTTGCTTAAACCTGTTACGTAGTATTATATCAAAAGCCCTCTGGACTCGGGGATTTGGGATAAACTGGCACTCTTGCGGTATTTATACATAAGAAGGCAGTTGTAGTTGTTGTGGTTGCTTGTGGTTGGGAATAGGTGGCTCTCGTGACCAGAATGGAAATAACTTGATTTGTAAACAGTTCTCGTATTATCTTTGCGAACCTTCATTTAGTTAGAAGTCAAAGAATTTGACACTTCAGTTGAAACGCCGTCTGTTAAGCTTTAATTACTTAGAATTTCTGATGCAGAGTGACCAGCAATTTGACCCCAACAAGGCAGCTCCGCCGTTTTCAAATCAAGTGGGTAATAATTACATGCATATTCCAGTTGCTTCTGGGTGTGGGGCGGTTTTACCTAATGACACAAATCACTTTAAACCTTTCCATGGTGTTGAATTTCAAACCTCTAGCATCTGCCCGAAGAATTTCATTATCTTCGACCAGACTGATCATCGAAGTCAGATTATGTTCAATCCTGAAATTTCCCACAAAATTACTGGTCCTGCCTTTAACCTCTGTGCAGCTTACATCCAGACAATCTGGGATTGAACGAGGGAAATATTGACAATAGAGAAGCATCGTCTACTCTGAAGGAGGACTCCGATGATATTGATGCATTGCTGAGCTTGGAAGAGGAAGAGCTGGAAGATTATGATGAGGAAGAGGTCAGTACAGCCCGAACTCGTGGAAATTATGGGAGCTCATTCTCTGATTCTTGCTCCAGTTATGGTTTGAAACCAAGAAGGAAGGGCTGTGTTCTTCACTTGAAAAATCTACTGCCATTGGTAGCAGTAGCAGCTGCAATAGTGAAAGGAAACGCCAGAAAATGAAGAA